ATGTTCTTCTATCAAAGCTGTAAAGTATTTGTATAAGTATGTTTACAAAGAATATGATCGTATCAATTTTTCAGTTCTCAAAAATGAAACAAAGAAGGATATAGATGAAATTTCTGGTTATCAATCTGCTAGATGGATATATCCACCCGAAGTTGTATGGAGGATTTTTTCCTTTAATATGTCAGAAATTAGTCCTACAGTTTACTCTTTACAGTTTCATATCGAAAATCATCAGCAAATAACATATGACAATGAAGATGATTTGTCTACTGTTGTTGAAAATGAAAATAAAAAAAGAACTATGTTGATGGAATTTTTTCGCATGAATAAAGAAAATGAGTTTGCACGTACACTTTTGTATAGAGATTTCCCAACATATTTTGTTTGGAATGCGAATAAAAAAATTTGGACTCGCAGAAAGAAACAAGTTATAGGACGAATTGTCACGATAAATCCATCTGAAGGAGAATGATATTTTCTTCGTGTTCTTTTGAATCATATTCGATGTCTAACATTGTTTCAAGATTTATGAACTTTAAATGGAGTTACTGTTGTTACATATCGAGAAGCAGTGCTTCTACATGGTTTATTGAGCGAGATAATAATTGTGAAGAATGTTTATCTGAAGCTATTATTTATGAAATGTCTATTTCTTTAAGACGTCTATTTGCTACACTTCTTAGCCTCTGCAACTCTAATGATCCAAAATTATTGTGGAATACATTCAAATCTTATATGATTGATGATTACATACATGAAAATATTTCTTTACATGATGCTGAACTTCGGGCTTTAAACGATATTAGTTGTATCTTAGAATCTTTAAATAAAAATATAAACGACTACGAAATAGTATCATTCAATGTAGATATGAACGAAAATGATAAATTAAGGAGAATGGTTGAAGATGAGACAACAAATCTGGATATTGAAGAAAGCTATGTTTGTGCAGCAAGTTTAAATAGCAAACAACAAATTGCATATGATATGATTATGGAAAAAATAACATCGGGATCAAGTGGTGCTTTCTTCATCGATGGTTCAGGCGGCACAGGTAAAATATTTTTATATAAAGCATTGCTAAGTGTTGTAAGGTCTCAAAATGCAATTCCTTTGGCAACTGCGTCTTCTGGAGTAGCTGCATCTCTTCTACCTCGAAGTAGAACTGCTCATTCAAGGTTTAAAATTCCTTTGAAAACAATAGGTGAAATAAGTTGCTCTATTAGTAAACAACCTGCTTTAGGAATATTGTTGAAAATGTGCAAGTTAATAATTTGGGATGAAGCTCCTATGGTAAATCAGTGTGCTGTTGAGACTGTGGATAAAATGCTAAAAGATATTAACAATTGTAATTTACCTTTTGGTGGTAAAGTTATGGTTCTCGGGGGGG